GAAATGAAATTAGAAATCAACTACAGTAAAAACACCCAAAAACATTCAAACATATGGAGGCTAAATAGCATGTTATTAAACAATGAATGGGTTACCAATGAGATCAAGAAAGAAATAAAAAACTTCCTGGAAACAAATGAAAATGAACACACAACTATAGGACACAGTGAAAGCAGTCCTGAGAGGGAAGTTCATAGCTCTACAGGCCTACCTCAAAAAAACAAGAAAAATTAATAATAAACTATTTAACACTACAACTTAACAAACTAGAAAGAGAATAATTAGAAACGCCTAGAGTAAGTAGAAGGAAGGAAATAATAAAGATTAGAGCAGAAATAAATGACATAGAGACTAAAAAACAACACACAAAAAAATCAATGAAATAAAGAACTGGTTCTTTGAAAGGATAAACAAGATTGATGAACCGTTAGCCAGACTCATCAAGAAGCAAAGAGAGAGGATCCAAAAAATAAAATCAGAAAGGAAAGTGAAGAAGTAACCACTGACATTACAGAAATACAAAGGATTGTAAGAAAATACTATGAACAGCAATATGCCAAGAAGCTGGACAATGTGGATGACATGGACAAATTCCTAGAAAAATAAAATCTCCAAACACTTAAAGAGGAAGAATCAGAAAACCTGAATAGGCCAGTAACAACTGATGAAATAGAAACAGTAATAAAAGAAAACTCCCAGCAAAGAAAAGCCCGGGGCCGGATGGCTTTAAAGGGGAGTTTTACCAAACATTCAAAGAAAAAATAACACCTATACTCCTCAAACTATTCCAAAAAATCCAAGAGGAAGAAACATGTCCAAGCTCTTTTGACGAGGCCAGCATTCTCCTAATTCCAAAACTAGATAAAGACACTACAAAGAAAGAGAATTATAGGCTAATGTCCCTGATGAACATAGATGCTAAAATACTCAACAAAATATTAGAAAATCAGATCCAGCAATATATTAAAAAGATCACACACTATGAAAAAGTGGGATTTATTCTAGGGATGCAAGATTGGTACAATATTTGCAAATCAATAAACGTGATATATCACATAAATTGAAAGACAAAAATCACATAATCATATCAATTGGTGCAGAAAAAGCATTTGACACTATCCAACACCCATTTTTGATAAAAACTCTCAGCAAAATGGGAATAGAGGGATCATATCTCAACATGATAAAGGCCATGTATGACAAATCTACAGCCAACATCATACTCAATGGGCAAAACGAAATCCATTTCCCCTAGGAACAGGAACAAGACAGGGATGTCTGCTTTCACCATTCTTATTCAACATAGTACTGGAATTCCTAGCCTCAGTGATCAGACCAGAAGAAGAAATAAAAGGAGGAAGTAAAACTCTCATTATGCCCAGATGCCATGATATGGTATATAGAAATCCCTAAAGACTCCACCCAAACTATGAGATTTAATAAATGAATTTGGCAATGTAGCAGGATACAAAATCAACCCGCAAAAATTAATGGCTCGTGCTCGCTTCGGCAGCACATATACTAAAATTGGAACAATACAGAGAAGATTAGCATGGCCCCTGCGCAAGGATGACATGCAAATTTGTGAAGTGTTCCATATTTAAAAAAAAATCAATGGCTCTTTTATAAACCAATAATGAATTCTCATAAAGAGAAACTAAAAAAAAAAAGTCCCATTTACCATTGCCACAAAAAAAAAAATGAGATACTAAGAATAAACTTAACCAAGGAGACAAAGATTTGTACTAAAAAAACTACAATACATTGAAAAAAAGAAATAGAAGAAGATATAGACAAGTGGAAGAATATTCTGTGTTCATGGATTGGTAGAATCAACATCATTAAAATGTCCATACTTGAGCTCCAGTGGCACAATCGGTTAGCGCGCGGTACTTATAAAATGTCCATACTACCCAAGGCAATCTACAGATTTAATGCAATCCCTATTAAAATACGAACATGTTTTACAGATCTAGAACACATACTCCAAAAATTTATATGGAACCAAAAAAGACCCCGAATATCTGCAGCAGTCTTGAGAAAGAAGAACAAAGTTGGAGTAATCACAATGCCAGATGTCAAGTTATACTACAAAGCCACTGTAATCAAAACAGTCTAGTACTGAACAGACATACAGATCAATGGAACAGAACAGAGATCCCAGAAGTCGACCCAGTCCATTATGCTCAATTAATATTTGACAAAGGAGGCGAAAGCATACAATGGAGTCAAGACAATCTCTTCAATAAATCGTGTTGGGAAAATTCGACAGATACATGCAAAAAAAAAAAGAAAGAAAGAAAGAAAGAAACTAGACCACCGACTTACACCATATGCAAAAATAAACTCTAAATGTATAAAAGCTTAAACGTAAGTTGGGAAATGATAAAAATCATAGAAGAAACCTCAGGGAGCAAAATCTCAGACATCTCTCATAGCAATATGTTTATGGAAACATCTCCTCGGGCAAAGGAAACTAAGGAGGAAATGAACAAATGGGACTACATCAAAATAAAAAGCTTCTGCACAGCAGAAGAAACAACAAAATGAAAGAACATATTTGGCAATGATACATCTGATAAAGGGTTAATATCAAAATATATAAGGAACTCATGCAACTTAACAAAAGGAAGACAAACTATCCAATTAAAAAATAGGCAAAGGACCTAAATAAACATTTCTCCAAAGCAGACATACAGATGGCCAAGACACTTATGAAAAAATGCTCAAAGTAGTGCACTGATCACCAGAGAGATGCAAATTAAAAAACCCTTGTGCACTGCTGGTGGGAATGCAGACTGGTGCAGCCATTAAGGAAAATGGAATAGAGTTTCCTCAAAAAATTAAATATGGAACTACCACTTGACCCAGTGATCCTACTTCTAGGAATATACCCTAAGAAACCCAAAACACCAGTCAGAAAGAATGTATGCACCCCGATGTTCATAGTAGCACAATCCTATATAATAAAACCCTAGTATGCAAATCAACTAAACAGTGGAACGACTGGTCGCTATGACGTGCACTGACCACCAGGGGGGTAGACTCTCAGTGCAGGAGCTGCCCCTCTGGTGGTCAGTGCACTCCCACAGGGGGAGCACCGCTAAGCCAGAAGCCGGGCCCGTGGCTGGCGAGCACAGCGGTGGCAGGAGCCTTTCCCACCTCTGCTGCAGGCAAGGGGTAAGGAGTGAGGGGTCCCGGACTGCAAGAGGGTGCAGGCTGGGCTGAGGGACATTGGGCCTCTAGGTTACAATATAAGATCTAGAAACAGCCCAAGTGCCCATCAGTAGATGAGTGGATAAAAAAGCTGTGGTACATTTACACCATGGAATACTACGCAGCAGTAAAAACAACAACAACAGGATCTCTTACCCTTTGAAACAGCATAGAGGGTCCTGGAGAGTATTATGCTAAGTGAAATAAGCCAGTCAGAGAAAGACAAATATTACATGATCTCACTCATATGTGGAATCTAATGAACTCTCTCTACCCTCTTTCTTCCTCTCTGAAATCAATAAAAACATTTAAAAAAAAAAGCTGTGGTACATTTACAGCATTGAATACTATGCAGCAGTAAAAAAGAAGAATATCTTATGCTTTGAGACAGCATGGAGGGTATTATGCTAAGCAAAATAAGCCAGTCAGAGAAAGACAAGTACCACATGATCTCACTCATATGTGGGGTAGGGGCTAGAAGGGATCAATAGGGGGAAAAAAGGGAGACATCTGTAATACTTTCAACAACAAAGTTAATAATAAATAAATAAATAAATAAATAAATAAATAAATAAATATTAAAAAATTAGTATTCACATAAACAAACAAACAAAAAACAGTACTAAGAAAAGAGCAAAGACTCTAACAGAAAATAAGCAAAAAATATGAACAGGCATTTTACAGTGTTGGCAACAGGGGGTAGGGGCATGGGAGACAAATGCACAAATACAGTGAATTAAAATAGTCTCAATATCTGAACAACTGAGAAAATATAAACTATGATATCAATAATATATTAATATAAACCTGGATATTGTTAAATATTTAATAAATTTGACAATAGCAAGCACAGGTTAAGATAAAAGGTGGCACAATAGAAATTATGCTGCTGGTGGGAATGTGAACCTCAGAAAACCATATAACATGATCTTACAAATTTAAAAAAGTACATTTTTGAAACCAAGCAATCCCACCTTATGGCTTGTTTCTGTACATTAAGAGACAACAAAAGAATTTTTGTTGATAATAGATTCAGACATGGGCACTCCTTCTCATTGTATCTTATGAATACATCCTTAATAGTGTTTTTAAATTAATCTGCTGGATTTCATTTCACTTATTAAGTTTCAACCTACTACTTCCAAATACAAAACTAGGAGCTAGATTCAACAGAAATTACTAATAATAGAGGAATATCCAAATTGTCCAGGACTCCGTCTCAGTAACAGTAAAGACTTGAACAGCAGGCTGCGTGGAATGACCAGGCAGGCAGGGGGGTTAGTAAGGGATGACCAAATGACTAAACAGCAGACTGCGTGGGAAAACCAGGCCAGCAGGGGGGCAGTTGGGGTCGAAGAGGTTGGCAGGGGAGCCAGTAAGGGTGACCAGGCTGGTGGGGGGGGGCAGTTAAGGGTGACCAGGCTAGCAGAGGCAGTTAGGGGTGATCAGGCAGGCAGGCAGGTGAGCAGTTAGGAGCCAGTGGTCTCAGATTGTGAGAGGGATGTCTGACTGCTGGTTTAGGCCCGATCCCCGGGTGGTCCCGGGTTGGAGAGGGTGCAGGCTGGGCTGAGCAGACCCACCTCCTGTGCACAAAATTTGTGCACTGGGCCTCTAATGTATAGTATGTGTGTGTGTGTGTG